ATCCCAGAGTCGCCTCTTCACTGTTGACGTTGAGACTGGTGTTTTGCGGGTACTATTTAATGAAGCTGCCAGTTGAGGATCTGTGAGGCGTCTGTTTCTCAAACTAGACACCCTAATGTATTTGTCCTCTTGCTCAGTTGTGCACCGGGGCCTCCCACTTCTCTTTATATTCTGGTTAGAGCCAGTTTGCGCTGTTCTGTGAAGGGAGTAGTACACAGCGTTGTACGAGATCTTCAGTTGCTTGACAATTTCTCGCATGGAATAGCCTTAATTTCTCAGAACAAGAATAGACTGACGAGTTTCAGAAGCAAGTTCTTTGTTTCCAGCCATTTTGAGCCTGTAATCGAACCCACAATTGCTGATGCTCCAGATACTCAACTAGTCTCAAGAAGGCCAGTTTTATTGCTTCTTTAATCAGCACAACCGTTTTCAGCTGTGCTAACATAATTGCAAAAGGGTTTTCTAATTATCAATTAGCCTTTTAAAATGATAAACTTGGAACACAGGACTGATGGTTGCTGATAATGCGCCTCTGTACGCCTATGTAGATATTCTATTAAAAATCAGCCGTTTCCAGCTACAATAGCCATTTACAACATTAACAATGTCTACACTGTATTTCTGATCAATTTGATTATTTTAATGGACAATTTAAAAAATATATATTTCGAAAACAAGGACATTTCTAAGTGACCCCAAACTAATGAACGGTAGTGTATATACAGTGCCTTGCAAAAGTATTCATCCCCCTTGGCGTTTTTCCTATTTTGTTGCATTACAACCTGTAATTTAAATTGGATTTCATGTAATGGACATAAACAAAATAGTCCAAATTGGGGAAGTGAAATAAAAAAATAACGTTTTTTCAAAAATGTATAATAAATAAATAACGGAAAAGTGGTGCGTGCATATGTACAGTCGTGGTCAAAAGTTTTGAGAATGACACAAATATTGGTCTTCACAAAGTTCACTGCTTCAGTGTTATGAGTTATTTTTGTTAGGTGTTACTATGGTATACTAAAGTATAATTACAAGCATTCCATAGGTGTCAAAGGCTTTTATTGACAATTACATTAAGTTTATGCAAAGAGTCAATATTTGCAGTGTTGACCCTTCTTTTTCAAGACCTCTGCAATCCGCCCTGGCATGCTGTCAATTAACTTCTGGGCCACATTCTGACTGATGGCAGCCCATTCTTGCATAATCAATGCTTGAAGTTCGTCAGAATTTGTGGGTTTTTGTTTGTCCACCCGCCTCTTGAGGATCGACCACAAGTTCTCAATGGTATTAAGGTCTGGGGAGTTTCCTGGCCATGGACCCAAAATGTCGATGTTTTGTTCCCCAAGCCACTTAGTTATCACTTTTACCTTATGGCAAGGTGCTCCATCATGCTGGAAAAGGCATTAGTCGTCACCAAACTGTTCTTGGATGGTTGGGAGAAGTTGCTTTTGGAGGATGTGTTGGTACCATTCTTTATTCATAGCTGTGTTCTTAGGCAGAATTGTGAGTGAGCCCACTCCCTTGGCTGAGAAGCAACCCCACACATGAACGGTCTCAGGATGCTTTACTGTTGGCATGACACAGGACTGATGGTAGCGCTCACCTTGTCTTCTCCAGACAAGGTGTTTTCCGGATGCCCCAAACAATCGGAAAGGGGATTCATCAGAGAAAATGACTTTACCCCAGTCCTCAGCAGTCCAATCCCTGTACCCTTTGTCCCTGATGTTTTTCCTGGAGAGAAGTGGCTTCTTTGCTGCCCTTCTTGACACCAGGCCATCCTCCAAAAGTATTCGCCTCACTGTGCGTGCAGATGCACTCACACCTGCCTGCTGCCATTCCTGAGCAAGCTTTCTTGGGTGCCCTGACGAGTTCTTGATGATCCGATAAATGGTTGATTTAGGTGCAATCTTACTAGCAGCAATATCCTTGCCAGTGAAGCCCTTTTTGTGCAAAGCAATGATGACGGCACGTGTTTCCTTGCAGGTATCCATGGTTAACAGAGGAAGAACAATGATTTCAAGCACCACCCTCCTTTTAAAGCTTCCAGTCTGTTATTCTAACTCAATCAGCATGACAGAGTGATCTCCAGCCTTGTCCTCGTCAACACTCACCTGTGTTAACGAGAGAATCACTGACGTGATGGCAGCTGGTCCTTTTGTGGCAGGGCTGAAATGCAGTGGAAATGTTTTTTGGGGGATTAAGTTCATTTTCATGGCAATGAGGGACTTTGCAATTAATTGCAATTCATCTGATCGCTCTTCATGACATTCTGGACTATATGCAAATTGCCATCATCAAAACTGAGGCAGCAGACTTCGTGAAAATTAGTATTTGTGTCATTCTCAAAACTTTTGACCACGACTGTATTCACCCCCTTTGCTATGAAGCCCCCAAATAAGATCTGGTGCAACCAATTACCTTCAGAAGTCACATAATTAGTTAGATTGCACACAGGTGGACTTTAAGTGTCACATGATCTGTCACATGATCTCAGTATATATACACCTGTTCTGAAAGGCCCCAGAGTCTGCAACATCACAAAGCAAGGGGCACCACCAAGCAAGTGGCACCATGAAGACCAAGGAGCTCTCCAAACAGGTCAGGGACAAAGTTGTGGAGAAGTACAGATCAGGGTTGGGTTATAATGAACATCCCATGGAGCACCATTAAATCCATTATAAAAAAAATTGAAAGAATATGGCACCACAACAAACCTGCCAAGAGAGGGCCGCCCACCAAAACTCACGGACCAGGCAAGGAGGGCATTAATCAGAGAGACAACAAAGAGACCAAAGATAACCCTGAAGGAGCTGCAAAGCTCCACAGCGGAGATTGGAGTATCTGTCCATCGGACCACTTTAAGCCGTACACTCCACAGAGCTGGGCTTTACGGAAGAGCGGCCAGAAAAAATACATTGCTTAAAGAAAAAAATAAGCAAACACTTTTGGTGTTCACCAAAAGGCATGTGGGAGACTCCCCAAACATATGGAAGAAGGTACTCTGGTCAGATGAGACTAAAATGGAGCTTTTTGGCCATCAAGGAAAACGCTATGTCTGGCGCAAACCCAATACCTCATCACCCCGAGAACACCATCCCCACAGTGAAGCATGGTGGTGGAAGCATCATGCTGTGGGGATGTTTTTCATCGGCAGGGACTGGGAAACTGGTCATAATTGAAGGAATGATGGATGGCGCTAAATACATTGAAATTCTTGAGGGAAACCTGTTTCAGTCTTCCAGAGATTTGAGACTGGGACGGAGGTTCACCTTCCAGCAGGACAATGACCCTAAGCTTACTGCTAAAGCAACACTTGAGTGGTTTAAGGGGAAACATTTAAATGTCTTGGAATGGCCTAGTCAAAGCCCAGACCTCAATCCAATTCAGAATCTGTGGTACGACTTCAAGATTGCTGTACACCAGCAGAACCCATCCAACTTGAAGGAGCTGGAGCAGTTTTGCCTTGAAGAATGGGCAAAAATCCCAGTGGCTAGATGTGCCAAGCTTATAGAGACATACCCCAAGAGACTTGCAGCTGTAATTGTTGCAAAAGGTGTCTCTACAAAGTATTGACTTTCAAAGTGGTAGGCATGTTGTGTAAATCAAATGATACAAACCCCCAAACAATTCCACATTGAACACTGCATGGTGATGAATTACAGCCATGACATCTGTTTGGTGTACAAATGGAACACTAGAGTCAAAGTAAATTGATGTGCAATTTCACTTGCCCGTTCGGGCAGCCACAAAGCACATTCCACCAAATAGTTTTACAGTATTTGAAAAAAAATTGATCTCTGGTTAAAGATCGAGCTTTGGCGTCCGTTCGAGTACTCGATTACTCATGCCCATCCCTAGTGTGGAGTTGTCATCTGACTCATCACTTCCCAGGCTGCCAGTTCTGATGTCACCTAGTCCCCATGTCACCACTGAGTCCGTCAGCCCTCAAAGGAAAGCCAGAGGCTGTGTCTCAAATGGCACCCCATACCCTATATAGTGTACTGCTTTTGACCAGGGACCATAGGGCTCTGGGGAAAATGTATACACTATAAAGAGAATAGGGTGCCGTTTGAGAGACAGTCAGGACCCATCGCACAGACACACTGTCACCATGTAAGCACAGAAACCTCCAAGGAACACCCTCCGCTCTCTCTTCCGCTCAGCATCGGGAAAACAGTTACAGTAACCAGGCAGATGAGAGCTGGGTCGTATTCATTAGGCAGCAACTGGAAGAAAACAGACTGAAACAGGGATAGACTATCTGAACATTTTGCTACGGTGTGCTCTAATGAATACAACGTCTGCAAGTCACTTTCTCACTGATACTAGTACAAATGCTTTTTCTTTGTTGTCATTTCTTCCCCCCACTTGAAGCTCAAGTCCCCTCCGCTCCCTCCCTCCCTCCCCAGTTCATTAATTCTGATGTAAATCAAAAGATTCGTTTGGAGTACAGAACAACACACCATTACAGGAGATTGATCATGCATAAGATCTGCATCTGCCATGTTGAATTAGACACAGAACTGCCATCAGTCACCCAACACAACACACACAGCAATACTGAATGGAGCATTCTACTTTTCCAATGAAACACCTATCCCAGAAACCTATCATTTACCTGAAGACTAAAGAGCTTTACTCAGTTCTGAGAAATGTTAAATACTTGGCTCAAAATAAAGTTTAGTTCACCATCCAAAAAGGGAGGTTCAAGTTAACTTTATGTCCTGGAACATGATAAAACATTATTACCAACCAACCAAACATTCCTAAGATAAGATACAATAAGAAACTGTATTATCCATTTATTGTGCTTTCCAATCGTGGCCTATTCAAGCAGCCTCCATTGTATTATTTCCTGTGCTGTTTGACGTGCTCTCTCTCTTCTTCCTCTGGAGGTTGTTTGGAGTGAGTCTGTTACAAAGATGCTGCCATCTTTGTCCTGGGTCCATAGCCTCTGAATCAGATCGATAACCTGTGTTTATTTTGATTGGTCCCTGTAGGAAAACTGTGGACGCGGAGTATTAAGGTGGCCTATAACATCCTCCACAAGCTGGGGAGCAAGCAGGAACCCATGCTCAGACCTGGAGACCGGGTGAGTGAAGGAGGGAGGGGGGAGGGAGGAATGGATGGGGGTGGGGAGAGATGAGGGAGGGATGGATTGTGGGAGGTTGGGAGGAATGGATGGAGGTGGGGAGGGAGGGAGTGAATGGGTGTAGGAGGGAGGGGGGAATGGGGAGGTATGAATGGAGGGCAGGGGTAAGAGAGAAGGAGAGAGTGGGTGAAGAGGCCTGTGTGTGAGCTCCAGCCCCTGTGTCTACATTCAGAGAAGAGGGGCTTACAGAGCATCAAGCAGCATCATGTCCACCCCAGGGTCCAAGATAAGCACCAGCCACCAGGCTTAATCTCCTGTGTTCAGGCTCAGGACACTGCCTGGTGTGTATTACTGCAGTCATTCTGGGTTATGTTATCCAACATGAATGTTATTCCACGTGACGTACAGTATCTGAGAGTTACTGTATGCTCTCCCTTTAAATCTTCACTATCTTTACTACTGCTATCTTTACTACTGCAATCCTTTCTTCTCCAATGAAAGTGATTTACCACTTACAGTATCCATTTAAACAGCATGTCGCCAGCTTTGAATTATGAGTAAGGATTGTAATGAAGAACCATAATGTTCCACTCTTTTTTTTCTGCTATTTGATATACCGGTACTTGTGCATTACTAAAAGGCAACCATTACCTATGGGTTGCTTCCCAAATGGCACCCTATTCTCTACATAATGCACGAAGTAGTGCACTATATAGGGAATAGGGTGCCATTTGAGACGCTATCACTGACTCAAGTCTCCTCGGCATCCATCCTATTTTGAGGATGTTGCTTTGTTACTTTCATCTAGGTTTATTCCCCTTGGCTTGCTTGGTAGGAAATTGAGTCAATGGTTGTGTCCCAAGCGGCACCCCATTTCCTTTAAAGTGCACTACTTTAGACCAGAGCCCTATGGCCGTATGCTCAAAAGTAGTGCACCATAAAAGGAATAGGATGCCATTTATCACGTAACCAAGCTGGTGCTATGCCAGTGTTTCCTCGTTAACTAGAGAGGAATGGTTAATTACTGTACAGAAAGTTTATTCTCCCACCCCCTTCCTGTAAAGTATAAAGTAGCGTTGATTATGCTTTTCATAAAAATAGTTTATTGAAGCCCATAATAAGTCCCACTAGAGGTGCTTGGAGGTTTAGCAGAATGGGATGCGTCACAGCTGACACAGTAACAACACAGAAATTGAGGAAAAACTGCATTTTGCAGGGTGACATTGAAAAGCTCTGAAAAATGATTTAACAGCACCCATAAATAATTGACACTCCTTTTGCACATAAGGCCATGAGTTCCAGTCAAAAGTAGTGCACTATATAGGGAATAGGGTGCCATTTGAGACTCAGACAATGTAGAGGACATGTAGTAAGGTAATGCTGTGTGCCATCCAGGGAGGTGCACTCTGTTTCAGCCCCAGATGCTGTCTAATCAGAGCTACAGTATATTATGGCTCTCTGTCCAACATGGGAGCCATTAACAGCACTTAGTGTTAAGTTTACTGTTATCACACACACACACACACACACACAGACACACACACACTGTTATCACTCCTGCTCCCAGGCCGGCATGCAACCTGGTGCACATCTGATCCAACATGCACTAGCACCAGATAAGCTTTCCAATGACGCCACCATTGATCAAGTTAAAGCACCAAGCACACACTCTATCCACTGTCTCCAGACATAGAACATCTATTGAATAGGATATTTGTATACAACACCTAGGATATTTTTATTTATTTATATTTATTCAACCTTTATTTTACCAGGCAGGTCAATTAAGAACACATTCTTATTTACAATGACAGCCTGGCTTCCTGGATCTAGGAAGTTGTCCTTTTTTGTGTTGAGAAGCATTGTGATTCTGTGACGTGATCTATCCATAAGTGAGCTGTTCTGCTCTGCTCTCCTCCTCCTCTGCTCCTCTCTGTTGGGGCCTGCTGGAGCTGAGAGAGCTGCACTAGGCAGATGGAAGTGTCTAGGGGATATAGCATTAGCTTTTATCAGAGAGGGAGAGAATTTCTTCTCACTTTTGTTTGTTTATTTCATTTGCTTTGGCAGTGTAAACATATGTTTCCCATGCCAATAAAGTCCCTTTGAATTTGAGAAGGAGAGAGGGAGAGAGCAAGAGCCCAGATACTCAGTGAGAGGTCACAATCCCACTGTTCTGATAAGGCTGCCTGCATCGCTGCTGAAGATCAATCAGCCCCTTTGTAGACAAAGCCAGCGTCCCAAATGACACCCTATTCCCTTTATAGTGCGCTACTTCTGACCAAGGCCCATAGGGCTCTGGTCAAAAGTAGTGCACTATGTAGGAAATAAGGTGCCATTTGGGACACACACCTCATTTTGTGGCTCCAGTGTTGAGGAGAAAAGAGGCCCCCTGTGTGAACACGGTTTAGACATCGCTGATAATCTGTCACTCAACAGACTGACTGACCCTGGGCTCATGGGATGATAACGTTAGCAGCATGCTTTAATATCTTACTTGGCATGTAGTCATGTTTTAGGAGATTTTGAGTTTGGGCTGTATTTGGGGCTTGTTGTCATGACAACACTGACCTAAGACTTAGTCATGCTCTCCTCAGTTTACAATGAGCGATGAGATTTCAGACATATAGATTTTCTGCTGCATCTTAACCAATGATAATCTAAGATCTATAAATGTGCCTTCAGAGTGTATGAAGTGTTTCCACGTTCTACTCAAATTTCCTTTCAAGTCGGAAAACTTACCATTTATGTTGTTTTCATATCTTAGGATGTCATATTTTGGAGATTTTTGTCTATATTTGGGGCTGTCCGACATCACAACACTGACCTAAACCATTCTCTGTTCAATTATCAGAATACGTTTACAGGATATCTATTGGTAATCAACCATTTGTATAAGGATGGGTGATTGCCCATTACTATTATATAATTATCACTTCACTCTGTCTGACCTTTATGTGATTCATCTGTCCACAGGTGGCTCTGGTCTTTCCCAACAACGACCCGGCTGCCTTCATGGTTGCCTTTTATGGCTGCCTCCTGGCAGAAGTTGTCCCTGTGCCAATCGAAGTGCCACTTACGAGAAAAGTAAGGACACACACACACACACACACACACACACACACACACACACACACTGGTGTACGTGTGTGTCCTCCTGGGTCATCGAGGCCAGCAGAATGAAAGGAAAGACAGGTGGAGTTCCCCTTTTTAGTACATAATGTGTGTCCCAAATGGCTCCCTATGATGTAGTGCACTTCTTTCTACCAGGGTGAAAGTAGTGCACTATATAGAGAATAGGGTGCCGTTTGGGACTCAGGAATAACAGGAGGAAAAGTGAAGGAGAGGTGAAGCAATGTTAGCGTTTGGCCCAAAGAGGTCGGGCAGTCATAGGACTCATTCTCTTCATAAGTGTTGACAGTAGGCTGTCAACTGTCATGTCGTCACATAGAGAAAAGAGCAGAGGTACTGTAGCCTTGTAAACATGCCCCTTTGCAGTCAGTGCTATGTGTGTAGCTATACTATATATACAAAAGTATGTGGACCTTCAAATTAGTGGATTTGGCTTTTTCAGCCACATCCGTTGCTAACAGGTGTATAAAATCAAACACACAGCCATGCAATCTCCATAGACAATCAAACATTGGCAGTAGAATGGCCTTGCTGAAGAGCTCAGTGACTTTCAACGTGGCACAGTCATAGGATGCCACCTTTCCAACAAGTCAGTTTGTCAAATTTCTGCCCTGCTAGAGCTGCCCCGGTCAACTGTAAGTGCTGTTATTGTGAAGTGGAAACCTCTAGGAGAAACAATGGCTCAGCCGCGAAGTGGTAGGTCACACAAGCTCACAGAACGGGGCCGCCGAGTGCTGAAGTGCATAACGTGTAAAAATCGTCTGTCCTCTGTTGCAACACTCACTACCAAGTTCCAAACGGTCTCTGGAAGCAACGTCAACACAAAAACCGTTGGCCGAGCAGCCACACACAAGCCTAAGATCACCATGCGCAATGCCAAGCGTCGGCTGGAGTGGTGTAAAGCTTGCCGCCAGGAGAACGCTACCTGCCCAAATGCATAGTGCCAACTGTACATTTTGGTGGAGGAGAAATAATGGTCTGGGGCTGTTTTTCATGGTTCGGGCTAGGCCTCTTAGTTCCAGTGAAGGGAAATCTTAACGCTACAGCATACAATTACATTCTAGACCAGGGTTCTTCAATTCCGGTCCTGGAGGGCCGAAACACTTCTGTTTTTTATTTCTACCTGGTAGTTAATTGCACTCACCTGGTGTCCCAGGTCTGAATTAGCCCCTGATTAGAAGGAGAGGATGAAAAACAGAGGTGTTTCGGCCCTCCAGGACCGGAATTGAAGAACCCTGTTCTAGACTATTCTGTGCTTCCAACTTTGTGGCAACAGTTTGGGGAAGGCCCTTTCCTGTTTCAGCATGACAATGCCCCCGTGCACAAAGCGAGGTCCATACAGAAATGGTTTGTTGAGATCGGTGTGGAAGAACTTGACTGGCCTGCACAGAGCCCTGACCTCAACCCCATCGAACACCTTTGGGATGAATCGCCAACTGCGAGCCAGGCCTAATCACCCAACATCAGTGCCCGACCTCACTAATGCTTTTGTGGCTGAAGTCACTGCAGCAATGTTCCAACATCTAGTGGAATGCCTTCCCAGAAGAGTGGAGGCTGTTATAGCAGCAAAGGGGGGACGAACTCCATATTAATGCCCTTGATTTTGGAATGAGATGTTCGATGAACAGGTGTCCACATACTGTTGGTAATGTAGTGTATCTTCTAAGGCAGGGATGGGCAACTTTGATGGGGGTGGGGGCCACAGAAAAATCGGAACTCTTCATGATAGGCTACAGTTGCTCACGGGTCTGCATACCCATATCCAAACCAATCAATGGGGGCACCCCGGCCGGTAATTCGACCATGATAACAAGTTTAGATAGCTGGCCACTAAATGAACTTAGCAATCTAAAAATATTTTGGTAACATGGGCTACTTGACTATCAGTGACTGACATAAGAGAAAAACTGCAGCTGCACAACCAAATTTCGAAATTGCACCTTGTGTATTCTACTATTCTAACTCTCAACAGTAAGTTGAGACCCCAACTGAGTTCCCCAAAACATTTATGCTTTTGTTTTGTGTGTGTGTGTGGGGGGGGGAATTGATCCGAGGACCTTCAAATGGGGGTTGGCGGGCCGCCAGTTGCCCATCCCTGTTCTAAGGAGATCAGTCCGGTCCTTTCTCTAGTGAAGTTAGTAGAGTTGTTCATCAAAAAGAAAGGAGGACCAAGACACTCTTCATAGAATTAATTAAAATGCCTTTATTTCAATGTTCAATGGAAACAACGTTTTAAAAACTCTAATTTGAAGAGGGAGTGGTTACAGAATTCATTGGACAACACCTAGTAAGCAATACTATCCACATTAAAAAGTGAAATACTGTAGATATGTTATCAAAAATGCATATCAAGGCTAGAAGCATCAGAAGCCCTAGAAAGGTAGTTCTATTGAATATGACTGGGCAAAGTGTTAAGAATAGGAGAGCCATCTATTTTATAGAACACTAGATCACAGCAATCATGGACCACAACAGTCTAAACATAGCTGAGGGCAACAGAGCAATAGTAGAGTTGGTGGTCAAAGTGGAGAATAGCTGTAGCCTAGCAGTGTGTAGAACCAGAAGACTAAGGGGATTTTTTTGCAAGTGAACATGTCTGTCTTGTAAAATAGATTTTATCCCAATGAGAATAAACCTAATGTAAATTAAGCTGAAATAAAAATACAAAAGAGGCTCCTAGATGTAGGTGGTGTGTTCTTCTCTTATGAGGCAGCTCACGTCCTAGTGCGACTCAGCCTGTCTGTGCTGCTTTGACCAGATCTGGCTCTGTAGTTCAGTCAGAGGATCGAAGCTTTTAATCGTGGCCATAGGGAGGTGGTCTGGGGGTCTGGGGGAGGTGGAGGACATCCAGAGAGATAGCAGTCAGTGGCCCATTGATGTGTGCTACGCTACAGGGCAAGAGCACAGAGTTTGTCCCAAATGGCACCCTATTCCCTCTATAGCGCACTACTTTTGACCATGGCCCATAGGGTCAGTCAGACAGAGGAACATGCCTCCTCAGGCAGTGAGGCTGGCGCTGAAGTCATCCTGATAACTGGAGGATGATCAACAGTGGAAAGTGATTTGGGAGCGTTTGGTTCTCTGGATGAGGGTGTAACTTGGCTTATTAACACAGTTGTGTGACTAAAGTCCTGTCCAGGGGGTGTACTTGTATGTCAAAGCTGGCTCACGCTACAGAAACAGGAGACAAGCTTGAGCCCTATGGGCTATTCTGGCTCGGAAAAGGCTTACTTTCCTTGCTTACAGTTGTCATGGTGTAATATCTCTGGGGAGTGCTGTAGAGAAACCAGACGGCCAATATGGCTCTTCAGCATCTGGATCCAATTGGCATTATTAAACAAGACTTTGTAGTTTCACTCTCTGTGGGGGAAACTCGCTGATATTGTACTTGTATACTGTAGGAATCACACTCAAGCGGGGACCATTCATCTGTTCCTCAAACCATTTTATTATGTTATGCTACAATAGTAATGGAAAATGTGGCAAGCAATTCAGTTCATTGTGAAGGTCTCATTCTTCTTGATATTACAGTATGTAGGGAACGGAGAAAGCAGAGATCTGATATTGGTGACATATTAGCTTGCAGCTCCAATGGTTCGGCCTGGACAGTCAGGTTTGTGAGAAGACCTCTTCGAAATTAGGACGTCCGCAACAGAGTTCAGACGATTGACGTAAAGCTTGTCGTGCTCGTGAGTCTCTCATCGTTCGATGGTGGTGACTTTAGTTTGTAGCTCAAACGCTTCAGGTTTTACAGACGATTTTGTGGCAATTTTCTTGTCCGCATCCTCTCATGTGTAGAAAAAGACCGCTATTACAAGCCACATGTTATGGAGTAGGCGCAAGCTTTATATTGACGGAAAGAGGGGATTGAGCTGCAGCCACTACTAGAAACGGTAAGTCTCTAGCATAAACACAAGGGGAGCTATTCAGTATTCAAAATGACATCACCGTGTGACGCTAGGGAGTGTTTTCCCCCTACCAGCACTCACACCTGCCTTTTTCCCATCTTGCTTTACTCACACACATTCACACATCCCTCTTCTTTCTTTCTGCTCTTTCTCTCCCTCTGCTTTCTCTCTGCTGTCTCTTTCCATCTCCTTGTCTGTCCCAGTTCAATTTGCTATTTCGCTGACTCAGGTTCAGCTGATGCAGCCAGTGAGGAAGAGAGGCAGGCAGGCAGGCAGGCAGGCAGTCAGGAAGAGAGGCAGGCAGGCAGGAAGAGAGGCAGGCAGGCAGCCATTCAGGAAGAGAGGCAGGCAGGCAGGAAGAGAGGCAGGCAGGCAGGTAGCCAGTCAGGAAGAGAGGCAGGCAGGCAGGAAGAGAGGCAGGCAGGCAGCCATTCAGGAAGAGAGGCAGGCAGGCAGGAAGAGAGGCAGGCAGGCAGGTAGCCAGTCAGGAAGAGAGGCAGGCAGGCAGGAAGAGAGGCAGGCAGGAAGACAGGCAGGGCTGTGGGCCCAGTTTATCAGAGAGACGGGGGCTGAGACAGAGAGAGCAGCTGTGATGGAGAGAGACTGAGACAGAGTGGCTGTATACTGTATTGTAGGAAAAGGAAACCCCCTAGCCACAGAGCAGAACAGGCAGTGATGTCAGAGCTGCAGGGCCTCCTTCTATTAGTGTTACTATCTACTCCATATGAGCCTGTGTGGGTTTATTCCTCTACCCACACACTGTCTGAGAGCGAGAGCAGGCGACACATGACCACGCAGTGTGTGAACAGTGGGATAATATCACTGTGTTTTTCTAACCTAAATATGCACTCTTGATAGTCGTAAAACACCAGAGCAAAGACTGGGGGTTTCACAGTATCCCTTACATGTTGATATATGATGTTTGTACAGTACTGTATTTTGCATTATGATAATTGATTGGATTTATGAAAACTCTGACTATAAACACGTGCTCAATGTACAATATGAAAAATTATCTCTTCTTTCTGTCCCTCTCTCTCTCTCTCTTTTTCTCTCGCTCTCGCTTTCTCTCCCTCTCTCCTTGTCTCTCTTCCCTCTCCAGGATGCAGGGAGCCAGCAGATAGGCTTTCTGCTGGGGAGCTGTGGGGTGACGGTTGCCTTGACGAGCGACGCCTGCCATAAAGGCCTTCCTAAGAGTCCCACGGGGGAAATTCCACAGTTCAAAGGTCAGTGACAGTGTCAATGTGTGTAGCAAATCACCGTATGATGTGCTCCTGTCATATGCTGTCATATGTGAGATGGTCAGATGGTTTTCATGAGATGCTACACCCATAAAAATAGAATTCCAATATGGAATTATATTTATATGGCTACAGCAGAATGAGGTTCTGTAGTACCAGCATGGATTGAAATTAAACACTGATATCAAACAGGTTTTTAGTTTCACCCGGGCTTCAGTGATTTTATTGCTCCCCTCCGAAACAAATGGAGAGACTTATTGGAATGGAAGGAAAGGCAGGGAGGCAGCAGAGTAATGGGATTGAATAGGATGGGAGGTTTGCTGTAGTAGACAGCAGATCCTGACATAGTGCATATAGAATGTCCCACTGCGTAGAGAACAGAGCAGTCAGACAGGGAAAGTGAGAGAGATGGATGAGGAGAGGAGGGAGAGAGAGAGGGAGAGATAAAAAGAGAGGGGGACACAGGGGGAGTAAGAGAGTGAGAACAAGAGGGAACAGAGAGAGAGGAATATAGGGTAGTGAGTGAGATGAGAAGGAAGGATAGAGGGAGGAGGGCGAGAGGGCTCAGTGTGATTAATGCCTTGTGCCTTGTCTTCAGTAATGGCTGTATAAATAGCAAAATGATGCCAGACAGCGGATTTAAAGCTATTCTTTTAGCATAGATTGAGAACCTGAGTCAGGGCTGAGTAGAGGGCTGGCTGTGGAAACCCCATATACAGTACTGGGGCCAGACCCAGGTTGCATCCCAAATGGCACCCTATGGGCCCTGGTCAAAAGTAGTGCCCCCTGTAGGGAATAGGGTGTCATTTGGAACGCAGACCCAGCCTCATTAGGGATGAGTGGTCATTGATCGCGTCAGGGTAATCACATCACATTAAATGGCAGATTCTGACTGGCTCTCTAATGCCTTGACTTCCTTTATGGTTGTCTTTACTTTTCTCTTGGTCCTAATAATTATCTTTAATTATTCTGTCTCTCTTTCTATCTCCAACCAGGCTGGCCAAAGCTGCTGTGGTTTGTGACTGAATCCAAGCACTTATCCAAACCTCCCAGAGACTGGTTCCCCCATATCAAGGACGCAAATAACGAGACAGCCTATATCGAGGTAACCCACAGCTTTATGTCTTTGAATAATGTAAATGTACAGTGCATTAGGAAAGTATTCAGACCACTTGACTTTTTCCACATTTTGTTACGTTTTTTTGTGCCTTTTACTCCCATTGATTTAGACTGTTATTCTCCTGGGTCTGTTAAATAAGTGTCTCACTCTTGACAGTCAGAGTGATTGGATAGACTGCAGTCTCCATTGATTTGATGCATCATTCATAATGAAGAAAACAGGTGTTGCTGTTATTGCTTTAACTAAAGCTACAGTAGATCTCCCTCAGTTTCCTAAAAATCCTATTCAACATTCATTTCTGCTATGCTATGCTGTGTGCAAAGCTCTCATAGGGAAATCTAGACCAATTGCAAATGGCACTTGTTTGGTGTGATAATTTCAGGCCTTCTAATTGCAGATCAATATGCTTCATGGGGTTTGATTACAATTGTCTTTCTGGTGATTGGATATTCATTTGCTGCTTCTGTATGAGAGACCAAATGTGTTTCCCAAATGACACCCTATTCCCTATGTAGTGCACTACTTTTGAACAGGTTCCTAGTCAAACGTGGTGTACTATAAATGGAATAGGGTGCTATTTGGGATGTGGCCCAAGACCAGTCAATTCAGTAATCTAATGTGATTTGTCTTAATTTAGTTAGTCTTTTTTTTATGCAGGAGGTAATTCAACCAGAGGTGTAGATATTCTATGCTCATTGTGAAGTGATTGAAAAGATCATAATGATATAAGAGGGAAGAAAATAATTGGGAACATCGTCAGATCAGACGGCAGAGATTGGTTGTGTCCCAAATGGCATCTTATTCACTATATAGTGCACTACTTTTGACCAGGTTCAGTAAAATAGGGTGCTGTGTGGGGACAGGTCCATTTTGTTTGTTCCAGTCGAGACAGAATCCAAAATGGCGTTAGTAAATAGTCACAATTTTTTGTACTTTTGGCTCATGCAAGGTACTTTCCTACACAGTCCCCACGTTTTTCTAGTACTCTCTTCATTCAAACTGACATTTACAATAAATATTTACAGCAATGGCTTAGAAGAAATCACCTTGTCACATCTGCAAAGGAAAATATCTCCAGAAATATTTTGCTCTAGTCCTAATCTTTTAGACAAATGGTTGTTTTCGTAGTCATGCATCGCTAACTAGACATATGGCTGAGCAGATATCTGGACATGTTATGCATCACTCCTCTCAACGTAATACTACCTTGATAGTCTGTAAGATATATAGAGCATGATAGATTCTGTTTTAATGACTTCGCCTAATGACTGACTAACTTTTAATATTTTTGTTCCTTCTCCCTGTCTCTTAGTGCAGATAAAAATCAATGGTGTAATCCATCTAAATGTTGAGAGCTGTTCTCCCCATTTAGTTTGGTTGAGATGAAATATACCATGAATAATGAATGTGTGATTCATTCCTGAGTGTCGGTTACGTTCCAAATGGCACCCTATTCCCTATATAGTGCGCTACCTTTGACCAGGGCCCATCAGCCCTCAGACAGATATGAGAATGCTCTCTCTCTGTGCTCAGTCAGTGGATGATAGACAGTAGTCTGTATAGTGTTTATGTTGTGTCCCATTGATCCAGGCTAGCGCTGTGGTCGTTGATCAGACTGACTGGAGAAGACTGGCCTAGACAGCATCAAGGCTTTATTTGAGGAAATATTGTCATTGCCCTTCCTAGATCTACTACTATGTGTGTCTACTTTAGGACTGGGATGGGTCTGAGAGACAGGACATTACCGCACGATTGTTACAGACAGAATGAGTTTCGAAGCATAAAAATAGCACTTACTGTACACCTGGAGGTGTGTAAAAAGTAGTGAAAACAAATGAATATGGACATTAAATGCAAAGTGGCATTATGGATATTCTCAGTACTAGTGACTGATAATTAATCAGATATTTAACAGTAGTGTGTTTTTGTCAGCTTACAAGCAGTGTTTGAAATGGACAGTGGTTTGTCTGTACAGTAATAAGCAGGTGCCATCTAACAACATGATTGTACAGTGGTGGATATAATAATGATGGGCTGTGTTGCGGCTTTGTGATTGTGACAGTAATGTGATACACAACAGCCTGACTCCTCCTCTCTCTCTGTCTCTCTCTCTTCCCTTTCTCCTCTTCTCGACAGTATAAGACGTGTAAGGACGGCAGTGTGCTGGGAGTGACTGTGATGAGGATAGCTCTGCTGACTCACTGTCAGGCCCTCACCCAATCATGTGGATACACAGAAGGTGGGTCTATGCACCCCTCTCCTAAAATACATTCTACAGAAGTCATAATACTTAGACTCTTTAAATATAATTTTTTCAATTCTCCATCCTACAGGAGAGATATCATTTTTCATTACAATTGGGTTCTCTTTCTCTTATCTTTCACTTGTCTGGGCATTGTGCTTTTCACAGTCATTGTTCTAAACCCCATCTCTCCCAGTAATCTTGTATTGTGTACATATAATCTAATGTGTCATGTTTCATGGTTACTGTTTGATGCCAGTGTTGTGGGATTAAACTATCTTGTTCTCTGTGTTATGTCTCCTCTCCCTGTCTCTCTCTCTCTCCCTGTCTCTTCTGCAGCTGAGACCATAGTGAATGTATTAGACTTTAAGAAGGACGTGGGGCTGTGGCATGGCATTCTCACTGTGAGGACCAACCAGCTGGGCTTTCAATGGGGTTCACACACAGACACAGAGACACACAAACACACGTCTGCCCGGAGCTTAGAGGACTCGTTAAAGATCATTATGTTCTCACTATGTTTTCTCTGAGCACTGTCTTGGAATGGGAATTATATTATCATAGAGGCTTTTTACCACTGTTGCTAAATTAGTTCTCCCAAATCCAATTAAAACGAACAGTGAATATATTCTAATGTGTAGCCACAGGGAGTTTTGTCTCCATTGTGTTAGTCCAATATTAAGGCTGAGGCCCAAATGGCACCCTATTTCCTATATAGTGCCCTACTTTTGACGAGGGTCCATAGGGCTCTGGTCAAAGGTAATGTACTATAAAGGGAATACGGTGCCATTTGAGACGCGTACAGTAAATTATCAGTGTTTTAACCAACCAGATCTCAGATCAGTTTTCTCATTAGCCTAGAAAAAGCCTCATCATTACCCGTCTTGATTGAGTCTAAAGGCTCGCACAGACTGAACGATTTTAGCAGTCTTATGCCATGATTTTTCTGTCCGGGACAAAAATGTCCACGTCATGGGCAAATTCTTAGGTCGTAAAAGATTGTCGGACGTCTTGGCTAGTTCAGTGTGACAGGGTCTAGATCTGCCGATTAAGTACCACTACGTGTGGTCGTAGGCTCCGACAAAGTTCTGGCAGTGTCAGAAATGTTGAGCCTTTATTGTGTAGTGTGGCTGGTGTTACGAGCGGATCCCAGTGACTGACCAATAGGAACACGTCCAGCATTGAGTATGCACACAATAACGTGATTATTGTGAATAGTCAGATTAATATAATAGTTTGATTTAAACGTTTACATGCTTATGCAAGAATAATGATTTCCCTAATAATCTTGTTTACATGACACATCTGAAATCAGGCTACCTAATGGGATTTTGATAAATGCACAAAAATGCCAAATCAAAATAAACGTTCTACCACAGCGACCATGTTATTTTCATATTGGATTCTGAGTTCGGACATATAAAGTTTTTATGTGAAAACTATTTCTAAGATGCATGTTTTTCCAAACTCACTTCACTCGTGCATTAGCATAGAAGGAGGCTTGCGCTGCTGGTGCTGGCACAGATCAAATAGACTGCTGCAGTTGACGATTCGTACAGTATGTCAGCTGACATAGCCTCGCGAGCCAATCGCAGAATGTTGCGACAGAACTGAATCAAATTACAATACGGCCAGGTTGATATCAAGATTTTAATTTGGTAACATCGCACAGTGTGACATGTAATAATCATAGACTGAATCCAACGTACAGTGTGGGAAGGCTTTAAGTCTAACATTTAACTGTGGTTCTGATTGAGTCTTGACTTGCATATCATAACGGCTCTGACTGTGTCTCTCCTGTTGCAGAGTGTGATGAACATGATGCATGTTATCAGTATACCCTACTCACTGATGAAGGTCAACCCACTGTCCTGGATCCAGAAAGTGTGCCAATACAAAGGTCTGGATTTACCACCTCTCCATTCACATGACTTCTGTTGATAACTATAGATATGTCTATTTGACATTTGATACTGTATACCTTTTAGTTGATTATGTATGCTTCATTTACAGGGCTTTTGTATAATACGTATGATTTGATATACAGTTCAAACTGTATGGTGACTGTTGGCATTTTGCCTTCACAGATTGAATATTTTGGCTGTGATCCCCATGGGAACTGTCCCTAATCCTTGATATGGTCTGGTCCCTCCCACAGCAAAGGTGGCGTGTGTGAAGTCCCGAGACATGCACTGGGCCTTGGTGGCCCACAGGGACCAGAGGGACATCAACCTGAGCTCACTACGCATGCTGGTGGTGGCCGATGGAGCCAACCCCTGTAAGACCACACTACCGTAGTACTGTATCACATTTTTACATTTAAATTTTAGTCATTTAGCAGACGCTCTTATCCAGAGCGACTTACAGTTAGTGAGTGCATACATTTTTCATACTCTCTCTATCTCTACCTCACTCTCTCTATCAATTCAAGTCAAATGATTTTATTGGCATGGGAAACATATGTTTACCTCATAGATATGGGAGTTTATTGGATTTGTTTTCAGGTTCTTTGTAGGTCTGTGTAATCTGAGGAAAAGCTGTGTCTCTAATATGGTCATAGATTTGGCAGGAGGTTAGGAAGTGCAGCTCGGTTTCCACCTCATTTTTTGGGCAGTGGGCACATAGTCTGTCCTCTTGAGAGCCAGGTCTGCCTATGGCGGACTCTCTCGATAGCAAGGCCAGTCTGGACTGTACATAGTCAAAGCTTTTCTTAATTTTGGGTCACAGTGGTCAGGTATTCTGCTACTGTGTATTCTCTGTTTAGGGCCAAATAACATTCCAGTTTGCTCAGTTGTTTGGTTGATTCTGTCCAATGTGTCAAGTAATTATCTTTTTGTTTTCTCATGATTTGGTTGGGTATAATTGTGTTGCTGTCCTGGGGCTCTGTGGGGTCTGTTTGTGTTTGTGAACGGAATCCCAGTACCAGCTGGCTGAGGCGACTCTCCTCCAGGTTCTTCTCTCTGTAGGTGAGGGCTTTGTTATGGAAGGTTTGAGAATCAATTCCTTTTAGGTGGTTGTAGAATTTAATTGCTTTTTTCTGGATTTTTATCATTAGCGGGAATCGTCCAAATTCTGCTCGCTATGCATTATTTGATGTTTTATGTTGTACACAGAGGATGTTTTTGCAGAATTCTGCATGCAGAGTTTCAATTTGGTGTTTGTCCCATTTTGTGAATTATTGGTTGGTGAGTGGACCCCAGACCTCACAACCATAGAGGGCAATGGGTTCTATAACTGATACAAGTATTTTTTGCCAGATCCTAATTGGGATGTCAAATGTTATGTTCCCTTTGATGTCTTAGAAGGCCCTTCTTGCCTTGTCTCTCAGATCGTTCACAGCTTTGTGGAAGTTACCTGTGGTGCTGATGTTTAGGCCTAGGTAGGTATAGTTTTTTGTGTGTTCTAGGGCAACAATGTGGAATTTTTATTTGTGGCCCTGCCAACTGGACATTTTTTGGAATGATTTGTGTCTTACTGAGATTATCTGTCAGGGCCCAAGTCTGACAGAATCTCTGCAAAATATCTAGGTGCTGCTGTGTGCCCTCCTTGGTTGGGGACAGAAGCACCAGTTCATCTGAAAACAGTAAACAGTTGACTTCAGAGTGTATTAGGGTGAGGCCGGGTGCTTTAGACTGTTCTAGAGCCCTTGCCAATTCGTTGATAGAAATGTTGAAGAGGGTGGGGCTCAAGCTACATCCCTGTCGCACCCCCTGGCCCTGAGGAAAGAAATCTGTGTTTTTTGCCAATTTTAACCACACACTTGTTGTTTGTGTACATGGATTTTATAATGTTGTATGTTTTCCCCCCACCACTGCTTTCCATCAATTTGTATAGTAGACCCTCATGCCAAATTGAGTCAACCTTTTTTTAATCAACAAAGCATGACAATACTTTGCTTTTGTTTTGTTTGTTTGTCAATACGAGTGTTCAGGGTGAATACATGGTCTGTCGTATGGTGTCGTGACGTGACGTACTTTAATGTATTGACTATTATTTATCGAATCAACTAACTATGTTTAATTGTCACTCAATTAAATTAATCATGTAACAGTTTCCTCATTAGGAATTTGGGGCACCATGGAAGAAGTTGTTTAACGAGTTACCATCTCCCGAATTAAACTCTTAGAAGATATATATGTTATATATATCGATAAGTCACTTATTAAATAATTACCTCTTATCAGTCTCGTTCTGAACGTCGCATAATCCTGCAAGAACCCTAACCTTATTGATGAATCAGCAATACACAAATTGGCTTAATTATTTATTTACTAACTAACTAAATAATAACACAGAATACAAACACACACACACATAGGTTATTGATTACTAATGTAATACAATGAAAACAGGTCCCTAGTGGACTGGACTAACAATCGCATGAATGCTTGGAAGGGAGAGACAGAGATTCAAACTATCGTTGTTACTTTGGAAACTACGCTCACGGTAATCATAATACTTAGCACCCTAACCATCACTCATTTGGATAAGAAATGCAATGTATATATTTACGCGTAGCTGTCCTCGATAGTTGAGTTGATGATGTAGGACTCTGGTTTGCCCATCAATGTCCTTGGTAGAGTTTCTGGTCGTAGTGGTGGTTAGAATGGATACTTCAGCGTACCCTGTAGTTCGTAGATTTGATCTGTTAGAATAGCTACTCAGATGTACCAATGGTTGTTGGAGAGGGATTGTCCTTCCCAACTCGTGTCTTTAGTGAAAGTTCTCTAGACGACTATACATGCCAGCTGCAGACTGAGATGATAAGGTCCAGTGCATTCTCTTCTTCTTCACCTCGTGTAGAGGTTGATAGTTTCAGAGTTTTTCCATTTCAAGCGTATGGACTACTGTCTCACGTTTTCTGGTCTAACCATTTTAAGCCGTGTAGCTTCAGCTTCACGCTTCCTGGTCTAATGCTATCTTCACAAACATATTCTCATACTTAATCATATATTTTAAACAACATTTAGATGCAAACCTGATAACTGAAATGTGTACACTTCCAGAGATAGTTATTTAGTAATACCATCCTTAATGACATCACAAAACAATAAACAATATGACATGATTATTCTTTAGATCTCCACCAACCATTCCAACCACTTAGATGTCAGAAATAACGTTCCAATGTCCAATCTTTTGGAGAAAAAGGTTTTGGTGGCAATCTGTCCCTGTAACACAGAGACATTCAGATCGCCAATACCAGGGACCAACAAGGAGTCGTTTGTTGCAAACCATTTAGGAAAGGCGCAAGGGGTCATAAAAACCCCCACGTCAATCAATCCTGTGTTCATAAAAATGACCACGGGGGAGAGAGAGAGAGAGATCTGTAGACTGTTGCTTCTCTGTATTCTGATATTGGGCTTCTCACGTGGGACCATCACATGAGTCATGACAACGG